AGAGACAGGCAGAGAGAGAGAGAGCCAGAGAGAGAAAGAGAGAGGAGACATAGTAAAGTGCGACAGGTCGGAGCTGAACTCTCGGACGCTGCAGTGCGGTCTCCGCCTCACACGGGGCACCTTTTCTGCCAGGTGAGCCACCAGGACAACCCGCGGCTCCCTAACGAGGTTAATTAGTCTCAAATCCAAACAGAGAAAAATCTGTGAAGACAACAGAGAATGAAACAGAGCTTAATGGTATTTTTAATAGATCAAATTACTACTGACTTCGCTTAGTTACCATAAATCTTTGGACATTATTCAATAATCTGTGTCTCAATTTATTGTCAGGTGTCTCGTCTTTTTAATGAGGGTTTGGGATTGTTACTTCCTGATTTCACTGCAGATTTCCCAAAAAGTTGTGATGCTTTTAGGCTTCTTTTATAATCAAACTGTGGGAGAAAGTGAAAACTGCAGAAAAACATTTTTATTTTTATTATTACTATTATTGGATTGTGATTCACAGGGGTTGGTTGAATTTGTGTTGTTGAACTTCCTGGCGTTATCTCACTGTTGTGTATTGTCTGGGCAGGAATGAGACTACATACAGTCTGATTTTATTTAATTAACATTTTATTTGATTAATAGACAAACGTTAATTGATCAAATTAAATCACAATGTTTCAGGTCGTCTCATAAACACTTTTATTTTTAATAAACTGCTGAATCCATTCTGGTTTTTTACAGTGTTGATGTGGCCTCAGGTTTTTTACAGTGATGTGGTCTCAGTGGGTACGCAGCGTCTGCAGATCCACTTTAGTCCTGGTCCTGGCAGCTCAGGTGGGGCTGCATACAGACCGCGGGCTGGCTGCCTCTCAGTCTCTGTGGTTGAACAACAGAACTCGGCGGCACAAAGGATAAAAACGGATCCCGGCGGATCCTGGAGGTGGCACCGCCTGTGGAAACATGAAAGCTTTTACATGTTAACCCCCCCTCCGCCCAAAACCACACACATAAAAGAAAGTTCTCTTCCAGCCGGGAGGACGGGGACGTTTACGGGTCCAGACTCGGCGTCTCCAGCCCGCCTTTGATTTGGGCTTAGAGGTGCCTAAGACAGGCTGGAAGTCACTGCCACTTTCTGCGGGACGTGGCGTCGAGTCGGGCGTGACGCTGGCCTGGCAGACGCAACGACGGCGGCGCTAATGGACTAGAGCTCCGTGGTGCGTTCAGGAACTCTGCGCTGCCAGCAGAGTTTCGAAACGCTCCTTAAGAGACATCCAGGAGAAAGAGGAGGTGTCGACCTGAATCACAGAACAGCATCAGACTGTAATATATCTTAAAGGGACAGTACACAGAAACTTATATCTACTGTTAGCTTCAAAGACCAGTTAGTGCACAGTAAGCTTAGTATATAGTTAGCGTATATAGTTATCTTCCAACAGATCTTCATGTATTCTGTATTCTGAACAAGCTAACACCTCTAAGCTAACTGAAGCTATAAGCTAACTCTAAGCTAACTGGACCAGATTTAGACTGCTCTGATTTTAGCATGTTGGTTACCTTGACGACGTGTCTGCGAGCGACGTCGGGCCTCCTGCAGAGCGCCTGCAGCCGCTTACAGAGCTGCTCAGGTGTGGAGTACAGGTACTCTGCTGCATTAGAGAGCACAGAAGAAGAAGTTGACCAATGACAGTCGTTTAATCATTGAACACAAAATAAAGTCAGATTATTACCTGGGAATATTTCAGGATACACTAAAGCCTTCGGACACAGAGGATAACAGCCACAGTGGACAGCTTCTAACCTGGAACACAATCAGACAATGAGTCTGTACGCTAAATATGAAGCTACAGCTTAACTCAGCTTAGTTTAGCTTAGCATAGAGACTGGAAACAGCTGGCTGGGCTCCGTCCAGATGTGTTTGTGCCTCCAAGCAGACGCACGCTTCACCAGGTGAGCTTCACCAGGTGAGCCACTGGGGCCTTTTAGCATCTGTTACCGTTTAGCATCTCATCTTTTGAGCATGCAAACAAGCTAATTGTAGTTTAGCATTTAATATTTAACATTCGATATGAGTCTTCCTAAGCCCCGCCCCCTTTTGCGCAGATGAAAGAGACATATATATTCACATCTTAAGTTAGCTAATGTTAGCAATCTAGCTAAACTGCTGGAGCGTTTTATATTCAGCATTTTCAATATGTTAACAAGCTAATGCTAGTATGTTGACTTACCCTTGGTTATATGTAATAACTTTATTGATCCTCTGACTGTTCCTTTAGCGCCATCATCAGGTCAACATTTAATGTGTATATCTGCAGCACTAATAACATTAATAACACTAATAACATTAATTTGGTAAAGAAGTTAGCATGTGGATGTTAGCCACACAGGGCTGCTAGCATGGTTCTCAGTGTTGATTACAACAAATTAAGAGTCAATACAAATATCAATCAGTGGTAAGCAAGAGAAGGCGGCTAATATCTGGATTCATTCAGTTATTGATTAATTACACAGTGATTGGCTGTATTTCTCTGAGTAAACTGACAGGAACTCTCTGAATTATTGATGAGGTTTAAGCATTCATATTCAAACAGCAGATCTGACTCAGACTAAATAAAACCTGGTTCTGGTGTGAAGGTCCAGGTCCTGAGAGTCTGATTTGGATTACTGAGGTCGGTTCCGTTCTCCAATGTGAGGAAATCTCATCAGACTTAATCTCATACAATTATTGGATGGTTTCAGTGGACTGAATGACCTCATCGTCACCGCGGGACACAGCAGCTCGCTCAAGGACCCTAATTAATCTGATTAATCACTGATGATCTAGTAGTGGACCAAACTCTCCCAACATCATTAGCTTGTTTGACATAAATAAATATTATTTGTTTTTAATAGACGATGAACAGATTTTAATAGAACTAATAATTCAAATGACTGTTGACTAGATTTCATGTGAAGACACAATAATAATCAGGGACAGCTGGTATATATGGGCTAACAGGGCTAAGCCCTCCCTATCTTTTACAGTAAAGATGAAAAACTATTATTAAAAACCTTAGAACATTTTGTTTTAAACTTTGGTAGAACCTAAAGCAGCAACAGCAACCAGTGACAGAAAAAACCCAGGATA